AAATAGATGGCTGATGTCTGGTGAAAAATGACAAATAATAACGAAAATATAGCTAGCTTATTCATTTTGTTACTAATAACAATTATTATTAACTATACAAAAATTCCTGTCTTATTTCCTTTTTATGTCTTTTTGGTATTTTTGCTTTATCAGATTAGGAACTATTAGATTATATCAAAAACTATTGATAAGTTTTTTGATTTCCGTTCGATTTTGTGCTTGATAATGCTTTTATATCAAAACAAAGTTTGTTTTTTTATAGTTTATTCATAGGCGCGTTCAGGATTTTTTCATTAATTTTTTTTTAATATTAGTCATTGAGAATTTTCAAGAAATTTTCATGAGAATCACTGATCAGCAAAAAAATATTTTTCCTCCGTTTTGTTTTCATGCATAATGTTTGATGCTCTAAACACAAAATTTAGTACGGGAATAAATACAGCATAATATATAGGTTTTTGTATAATCTTCATTTAATCAAAAAATGATATTATTAGAGTAACAACCAACATTCTAAGACAAGCGGCAAATGTATCCAGCTATATCGCTGAACGCTTTCTGTTAACAAAACTGCAACAAGTAAGGGTGACAGAAAAAATGGTAGAAAAGACAGAATTAAGTTTGCAGAATTAGAGAGACACCCAAGTCTGATCCTGTGAAAGGATGGACCATAATCCATCGACGGAATTACCAAAAGACAAAAACAGCAAATCCTGGCAAACACAGATTACGAAGTCTAGAGAATTCATAAATTTACTAACACAAAAAGCCCCAGCACGCAGCACTGGCAATTTTAATAATTAAGGTTTATTTTCAAGACAACCTTAAAGAAAATGGCTTCGGCCACCAAAAAAATTAAAAAATATTAATAAAAAGGCGAAAGCCATCCAAAAAAATTAACAAAACCCCAAAACTCGAACACAAAGGGCCCACATCCTCGGGCACCAAGTCGCCGAACTGGAGACTCGGGGCTCGAACAAGCAATTTCAGATCGATGATACGTCACTTTAGTGGGGAAAGGGATACTCTGGAGAATTGGAGCGCGGTGTAATAATTCCTAAATACACGAGAACACCTCGCTTCAAAGAATTAAAATACCTGAATGTCATTCTAAGGAGTGTGTAAGTTTCTTTGACTGGGTTTAATCAAATTGTTTGCTTGGTTTGAAAGATTAAAGGATCGTTTTCAGCCCACTGATTTAGTTATTACTGAAAAAAAAACGAACGAATAAAAAGTACTGTGACAGAGGAAAACGAAATAAATGTGCTGCTGGCAGTTACTATAAATCCAAATACAAGTAGACGGAAATTTTTCAAAGGAAAAAAAGTAACTTACTGCTTTGTGCAAAGAATTCTTGCAAAAAACAGAATGCACTCTTACCGTATTTAATTACACCAAGAATTAATTCTTTAAAATTTTGAAAATTGCATCGTATTTTGTGAATGGACCTTAGATAAAATCAATATAGAGATTTTTTCGATAATGTACTACTTGCAGCTGAAGCTACGTTTCATAAAAAGGGTTGTGTTGACCTAGGAACTAATCCATACCACATAGTAACACATACTCAAACTAGATGGTCAATGGACGTGTGGGGAGGTATTTTTGGTAACTATGTCCTGAGACCATATTTTTTTAAGAAAATATAAATAATAAGATATATTTAGATTTTTTAGTAAATAAATTTCCAATGTTATTGGAAGACGTTCCACTGCGTATACGCGAACAAATGTGGTTTTTGCATGATGGTGCTCCTGTTCACCAGAATGTATTGATTCAAGGTAAACTGGACTATCAGTTTCCCGATACATTGATTGGAAGAAATAGGTCCATAGCGTGGCCAACCGGATCACCAGAATTTAATAAAATTGACTTGAAGAAGTAAGAATGAAGTTTATAAAATACTTCCATCTACAAGGGATGAGATGAAAGATAGAATAGGAAATTTATTTCGAAGTATTAGCGTACAAATGCTGCGTAATGGAAGTGACTCATTCAATGACCGTTTTCAGGTGTCCAAAAACTTTTTAGGAGGTTATTTTTAACACCTTATGTAATTTAATATTAAATATTAAAAGTAGTTTTAAACTTTTCCAAAAATAGTGTAGGTATTTTATATTTTTGTTTTTTTTTTTTGTAAAATTTATTAATAATATATTATTTTTTATTTATTTATTACACTGTTACATTAATTACCAGATTATCAGTAATGATGATTCAATAATCAGTTCGAGACAATTTAGTCATGGCTTACTTAAAATCGGTAAAAAGTTCAACACCTTATTAATAATTTGCTTTAAAAAGTGAAAATATTTAAAAAACTAATAAACTTAGACATAGGAAATGCTAAATAAAAATTGAGATATGGTAATTTTACTATAAAATTACAGGATGACATAAAATTACTGACAAAATAATGTACTAGCGTTTGGACTCACCCTGTATTCGATATAAAAAAAATTAGCAATACCAGTTATTTTTGCAACTTTTAACTATCGATAAAAAAATGTGGCAGTAATGGATCATTGTTATTGCGCTTCTTTTTAATTATACAGGGAGTTTTTTTGTATAACTCTTTTGTTTTTTTCTTGTATAATAATCCTGTATAATATTTGTATACTGCTATCTAATCACAGATAACCAATTATCAGTTATTTTCTGACATATAAATATAATAAACAGCAAATACTTCAATCTAAGGGCTTACCCTATGGCTTACTCTAATTTTATCTATTAACTAATGCACTACAACTAACATGCAATAACATCATAATACTATACTCTGCTTTTTTACACTAAACTGGTACACATTTAGACTAACTCAAATGGTTTTGTCCTTGTGAATCTTATTTTTAGTTTAGTGTTATCAAGAAGCTGGTTTGCCTCGACAGTCACAATGCAGCTTCTGCTCGTGACTTGCTGCTGTTCTCTTGATTACTTCGGTCACAGTTTCCATACCCGGGTCCAGCTCCCATAACCAGGATATATCAGGGAGCATCAACAATGTTTCTAAGTACTTTGTTTTGAAATCTCTGGATAATATGTAGATTACTGGCTTTGCTACAGCCCCAGAGTTGGCACGCATATACTCATACTGGCGTTAGTACTTGTTTGTAAATGGATAATGTTGAATTTTTTTCAATCAGCCAATACATTTCTTATATCTAATATAAAGCTCTTCTCTTTTTTTTATACATGGACTTTTCAGCGCAGCCTTGTGTCTAGAGTGATGCCCAAATATTTTGCTGACGTTGCTTAAGGAACTTGGGACATTTATTCTAACTGGGAAATTTCCTATTTTTTTATTACTTAAGTTAATGTATGCCCAATTAGAATAATTTAATTTTATTCGCCATTTTCTGGTCCAGGTATGTATTGTATTTACTGATAGTTGCAACTTATCAGTCGCTTTTTCACTAGTATGGCGTAGCGCTAGGTACAGGTCCAGACCTAACACACTCCATTGTGGCACGCCAGCTTTGATCTCTCTTAAATCGATGTACACTTTTGCTTGTTTTACTATGAAATATCTATTCGCAAAGCATGATTCTAAGATTTCTTATTACTATTTAGACATGGACGTTTTAGTTTATAGGTTAAACCCTCATGCCCGACTTTATCACATATATACAGGGAGTTAAACTATATTTTTGTAATGGTTAAGTGAAGAAGCTTTCGAATATAAAATAAAATATACGGTGTTCTGTGTTTTATTAAGAAAAACATAAGTTATATCTGCCACTATGTTATAGAATACCCTGTAATATTCTGGACTATTTTTCTAATAATAACCTTAAAGTAGCCTCCATTTTTTGTTTCTTGCTTGTTTGCCAACTCTAATTGATATCTATTTTTAATAGCGGATCTACTAAGCTACACCACACTAATCAATCACCCTGTATATACCTAGTATTTTGTACTAAAAAACAATAAACAGTATATGGAAGTATTGTAAGTCTCAAAAAACAGTCATTCACTAGTATGCAGCAACTCCTAAATTTTTTGTTATTTATTTAAATAAGAGTACAGATTTCTACAGCTTTATCCAGTTTTACGCAAAAATGATTTTCACGAATAAGAACATTTTTGAACAGAACAGAACAACAGAATACTATGTGTTGGAATGTCCAAGAAACATACAAAAAAAAAGGATCACCAAATCTCTCTAGAGAAACTCTAGTAAATAATATGAAACTAAATACGAAACAAAATTGTTGAGTTCAAATTGCTTGTTTATTAATCATTTACGTATCTAAAATATTTAATGAGTTTGAAATTAAACTTCAAAATTAATGAAAATTTAATATTTTATCTCTGATAACCGAATACAAACTACTCATTTTATTTAAGTATTTAACTTTGATTCATATTCCACTTGCACATCGATATTTTAGAGTAACAATAGCACATAAAACACCCAATGTGGAAGGCGGTCTCTAAAGCCCACTACAATTTCGCAGATTTAGCGGTAGATCGATCGTCATTTGGGACTAAGGGAGCCATTTTAAAAAGCTGAAAGCGTACTTTGTGATGCTCAACTGCTGACTATATTGTACGCTTGGGACCCCCAATAAAATCATACCTTTCCATGGATGTGACTGTTTTGTAAGCGGAATGAACTCTTATTTAGTTGGAAATTTATGGCTCAAATAATGGAGTAGATGGATCCAATTTAGGAGGATCTTCTGTGGAATATTTAAACTTCTTGGAGTTTTTTCAAATTATGTCTGGGTATATGATTTTAACGGGAACGAATTGGTAACTTGTATCTCTTTTACACGTTTATAAAATGTAAGAAAATCTGTAGTCATTTAAAGAAATTGGGATAAAACATGGATAATCGTTTTTTGTCATCAATATATTGTTTTTAAAACAAAATAGACTAGGTCACGGGCAGGAGGTAACGGCAAATGGGGTAAAACAAATGATAGGATTCTACTTACACTTAAACATTAAGCTTGCTTTTGCAGATAAATTTCAATAAATATTTATTTACTTACAGTTTTCATATTTAGAAATAGCAGAGAGCACATATTCGTGGAGGAAAAATTTTGATGTTTATTAAATTTTTATTAAGCCTTCTGTTTGATTTAAATATCTTTTACATTCGAAGAAAATGTGACTAAAATCTCCTTTTTTTTGATACTCCGGACACAAGTTTGAAATTACGATTTTTAGTTTTGCCAGAGCTAGAGCACTAAGATAATAGGCGTGTCCAAATTTTATTCTAATTATGGATGTTATACCTATATATAGCTTCGTGGAACAGAATAGTTTTTAGACCAATAATCACTTGGGATTGAAATCTATGTAGACGCATATTGCGAGAAAGAATGTGTACTGCTTACAGCCCATGATAATTACTATTTAAATGGGAATAAGCCACAATTAAAGGTTAAAGTAAGTTTATTGACGTTTCAGTTTCCACTTCGGAAATTGATCTTTTCCGAAGAAAACGTTCTTTTTCGTTTTTTTTTCGTTGAGAACGATTTCCAAAGTGGAAATAGAAAAGTTAATAAACTTACTTTAACCTTTAATTGTGGTTTATTTCCAATTAAATACTAATTACTTTAAAATGCCACAAGAAAATAGCTTCAGAACTAAAGATTGTTTTCATTTAATACTGATGTTATTTGTTATTATTGTTAATGTGTCTTCTTCTTGTCCACAGCTTTGGTGAACAGTTTGCTTTACAGTATCAATGGCTTTTTTAGCTAATAGGTCAACATTTTCATTGTATTTAAGACCTACATGTGCTTTAACCCACAAATTAACAATATTTTGGTTTTTATTAATAGCATAAAGAAGTTTTTTAAATTGAAGGACATATATCGTCGACATCCTGCAAAAACTGGCCAATTCAAATTTTGTCAGTTTTGAGTTAACCTGACCGAGTTACTAAGAGAAGTTGTTAGTTCTACCAGAAAAATTAACCAAGTCATTTAAATTCAATAGAACTGTCAAACAAAACTCACCTATAATGACTATGTACCGGTGGTCCAATAAGCCGATCTCTCGGCTATATATCAGAAACTATTCATGTTATAACTTTAGGAGAAAAAATTCCTGACTAAAAGTGGCCAAGAGAAATCGCTAGAAATAATTTTAAAGTTTCTGGGTTAACCGCTAGGGAGCGTAACTTGTGAAGAAAAATTTGAAAACCAGTTTTTTGTGAAATATGCCCAATTATACCAAGTGTTAAATAAGTAAGCTAGAAAGAGGCCTAAATTCCTCACAAAGTTGTTAAAGTACTTTTTTTATTTTTTTCAAATAAAGGGTGGGGGAGAGTGGCAAAATATTTGTGGATAAATATCTATAACTTTGGTTTGGATCAACAGTTTTTAACAAAATTAGTGTTATTAGAAAGAGTGTGGAGGATTTAATTTACATCTACTATAAAACAATTGCATTTAGTTTTAATTGTCATGGGTAGAGGGTACTTTCGAATAAAAAAATTAAAATTTGTTTTTCTTCAAAATGTTTAATAGACACATCTATTTATTGTAAATTTTGTAAGTATAGTATTGACTCACCCTTTATTATAACTTAAAATTAAATATGTGAAAGATCATACAAATATTTCGATCAATAAAACTTAATGTCAAATTAAATGTTTAAATTGTTTTCCATCGTTGTCCACACAAAGATGTAATCTTTCGCGCGTAGACATAACAGCTGCTTCAATCTCAGCTGTTGATATACTATTTATTGCGTTTTTAATGTCGTCTCGCGTGGTTGGTTGAGTTTAGTACACTAAGTCTGGAGATCTAGCTGACCATGAAAATATACTTTCCCTTCCAATCCAGTTATTTGGATAACTTGCATACAAATAATCTCGAACTCGTCTGGAAAAGTGCGCAGGACACCCGTCATATTGTAATATCATATCTCTTCTTGTTTGTAAGGAAATATCTGTCAATAAAACAGGCAACTGATTTTCCAGAAAATCGAAATATGTTTCGCCATTTAAAGTTCTATCAAATGGACCTACGATCTTTCCATCAACGATACCACACCAAACATTAAGACTCCATCTACTTGAACTTGCACCTCATGTATGCAATGCGGATTTTCTTCGGCCCAATAATGCTTATTATGCAGATTAACACCACCCGCACTATTAAACGTAGCCTCGTCTCTCCACAAAATCTTTGACATGATATGCGTTTGTTTTTCTAGCAGACCTAACATCCTATTGCAGTAATCCAGCCTTGCATTAAAATCTCTCTCATGTAAAGCTTGGTGGAGAACTACATGATTAGGATGCAGTCTAAAAAACAGAACAACAAATATTGGTGAAAAAAAAAACCACTATATTTACTAAAACTCAAAAAATCTTGAAAAATCCACAATTGTTTCAAAAGATAAATCGTGCATAAGTATTTTTAAGAAACGAATAATAGGATAAAAGTGCCGTGTTGCCGTTTTTATCGGAATATGAAAATAACAGTTGAATCTAAAGTTTAAAGAGAATTCAAAGTTTCTGACCTAAACTATTTTTTAGGTTTCTATAGAGATTAGCCGACTACTTATATCTAAATTTTGTTGAATTAAAGCAACAACATTGTTTGAATTATCTTCGGCCATACCTTTACTATGTAGTTTAAAACAAGGACGATGAAAACTACCAGTTTGTCTTAATTTTTCTTGCCTTTTTTTCCAATACTTCTTTGCCATAATGTCTCCTCTCAGTTTATCTTACAGAATATATACGGGAGGCAAAAGCGGAATTTTTGTGACATTTGAAATAAACTCCAATCATATCATACAATTCTGCTTTTGATATACTCATCACGAATTGTTAGTACTGATAATTAATTACTAATATTACCAATATTATTACCTATTGAAAAAAATGTAATCTTCAATTCGAATTATAATATAACACTTTTTAACGATGTTTTGACTGATGTCAATAAATAAACAATATGAACTCTCCGTCAAATTCATTGTCGTAGCCTACTTAGTTTCGAAAAAACTATTTTTGATCATTTGGAATAACAATTTTTAAAATAGGTATCAACATTAAGATTCTTCTGCCTTAAAAACATTTTAAAGTACCTACTGTCTTATTGTTTAATTTATAATACAGGGTGAGTCAATACTATTCTTACTTATATTTATGCGTTTTTATTCATATCTCGAGTTCGACAAAAGCTATTAACATGCGGTTTACGCCATTTTGTTACGAATTTAATCCAGTTTCATTATAACTTACAATAAATTAATTAATTAACACACTCTTTCTAATAACACTAATTTTTTTAAAATCGGTTGATCCAAACCAAAGTTATAGGTATTTATCCAGAAATAGATTCCCACTCTCCCCCACCCTTTATTTAAAAAAATAAAAATATTTGAACAACTTTGTGCGGAATTTAGGCCTCTTTCTAATTTACTTATTTAACACTTGGTATAATTGAGCATATTTCACAAAAAACTGGTTTTCAAAGTTTTCTTCACATGTTACGCCCCCTAGCGGTTAATCCAGAAACTTGAAAGTTATTTCCAGCGATTTCTCTTGGCCACTTTTACTAAGGATTTTCTTCTCCTAAAGGTATAACATAAATAGTTTCTGATATATAGCCGAGAGATCGGCTTATTGGACCACCCGATACATAAGACAATTTTGGTTACATAAAAATCTGACCAAGTCAACTTAGTCACTTTTGGCTTTCAGCAGATTGCACTTATCCGTTTATTGTCTGTTGTTGGTTTATGGTTCGAAATCGTTTATATTTTAAAAACAGTAAGATATTAAAAAAGGATGCAGAGGCGCAGCATATGCAGAGCTTCAATCTTCAGAAAACTTCAACGCATTTACTGATAATGAACTATTTTCTACATTTACTGAAGAGTATGTGACTGCTGAAGGTAGGTAAAATATTAAAATTAGGTGAAAATTGTTGTTCTTAAGAAATTCGGGTTAGAATTAATCTATGTTGTTCTTCACCTATTTTAGTACTCATTTATTTCTATAGAGCTACACGTTTAAGTAGAAATTTGATAATAAACAGGTATAAACACAAATATGATAATAAACTGAAACAAAAAAGGTGAACACTATAGTAATTCGGAGCTATTTGTAAATTAGGTTTAGAGATTCTTCTGAAGCTATTTTCTTGTGGCATTTTAAAGTAATTACTATTTAAATGGGAATAAGCCACAATTTAAGGTTAAAATACGTTTATTGACGTTTCAATTTCCACTTCGGAAATCGTATTTAAATAAGATCCCATTTAAATAGTAATTACGTTTAGAGAGTAGCGATGAATATGCTCCGGAAAGCAACGAAAAATCAGATGATGAGCCCCTGACAATTGACCCCTGACCCCTTGAAATTTACTGAAGAGAACAGAATTTCCATTTCTTTAAATCATTGGAAACTTGATTACTTACGCCAAAAAGACTTTATTTTATCATGTGTTATAAGCTACTTGCCAAAAGTTCACAGAATTCGTACCGGCAAAGACACTAGAAAAGTTGTAACTAGCTGCAAATACCATTTAAGAAAAGTGCAGAAATTATGTAAAGTATACAACCATTTTTTTTTAAATATCTGTGCATTAGTCATGGCGCAATAAATCATGCTTTAAAAGGCAAAAATTAAAATGGGTTATTTAATATGGAGGATTAAAGAGGAAGGCATGTTCCTTACATGTTAGTGAAGTCACTTATCGTAGAATTTTTGGAAAACATTCTAACGTGTCATTTTTTAATCCCAAGAAAGGCCAGTGTGAAATTTGCAACCAGTTCAAAAACAAAACTATTGATGAAGAAGATTGTGAGTAACATCTATAAATAAAGCACTAAGTAGCTAAGGCAAAAAATCTGAGAAATTTAGAGCAGCTGCAGATAAAACATTTTTAAATAGTTCGTTTGATTTACAAAGTATATTGCAAATACCATCCTCAGATGTGTCACAAATGTAATATTCTCTTAAATTGTATGCTTATAACTTTCCAATCTATGGTATATACAGTCGATATGATTAATGGTCAACATGGCA